TCTTACTAACACGGTGTTCAAGCACCTGTTTATCTCTGGGAGGTGCACTTTCTTAAATCACACTGGCACCTGCAGTGCACTTACGTGTAACTCATAGGTTGAATATCGGGAGGTTTAGTTTGTCATCGCATTCTATTCAGACCCTAACCACATTCCACATTTTTTTTCCAGGTTCTGTAGTTGTTCATATGGACTTGATTGCTCTGGAAGTTGTGAAGATTGCCTTCCCCATGAAAGCTGGACATGACCCATGAATTAATTTTCAAGAATGAAGGTATGCACATGTTTTACTTCCTACTGCATCTTGTGTGCACTTCCTCGAAATTTCTTACTAACATGGTTTTCAAGCACCTGTTTATCTCTGGGACGTGCACTTGGCAGTAACATCTGAAATTAACTTACGACAGCAGGCTTGAAGAAACTCCGTGAATGCGGCAACTTTATCTTCGAAGGCATTTTTCAAACTTCCCTTGCTACAATGGTTTCGTAGCATAAGTCATAAGTTGGTTTCACTGTCTAACGTTTGCCAGAATTAAGCTGAGGTTCCTGCACTGCACTTATGTGCAGCGCTTAAAGTCTGGGTCGTCTCAGGGGGTCCCCCACTGATTTTAACGGATGGTCTGGGACCCTCCTCCACAGCCCCAGCATTTGTGAAATCAAAATCATATCTTGCAATAAAATAGCTTGTTTTCAGGAATGTGACATTTGGGGATTAGCAATTCGAGGGTTGCAGGTACGGTGGGGACAGAGTCAGCAGTGGGTGTTATTTTATGTGCATCTAATACATTTCGCCAAAACCCCCCCTCCCGCCCTCCTCCCTTCTTTTAGGGACCCCCCTCAACCTAAGGGAGACTTCAAGCTCTGCTTATGTGTAACTAATAGTTAGCAGGAAATGGGAGGTTCGTTCTGTCATCACATTCTGTTCAGAACCTAATCACATACCACATTTTTTGTTTTGTTTTCCAGGTTCTGTAGTTCTCCCTATGAGCTTGATTGTTCAGGAAGTTAGAGATTGCTTTCCATGTGAAAGCTGGAAAGCAAGCCCACTAATTATTTTAAGAATAGACGCATGAACATGTTTTACTTTGTACTGCATCTTATGTGCACTTGCTTGAAATTTCTTACTAACACGGTGTTTAATTATCTCTGGAAGGCACAGTTGGCAGTAACTTCTGAAATTAACTCGTGACAACAAACTTGAGGTATTTTATTGGATGTGGAAATTCTGTCTTCAAAGGAATTTTTCTAACCTCCCTTGTTGAGATGGTTTCGGATCATAAGTTACAAGTTGGTTTCACTGTAGTGCTCGCCATAGTTAAGATGAGGCTCCTGCAATGCGCTTAGATGTAACTCGTAGTTTGCTGAAATTGGGAGGTTTATTATGTCATCGCATTCTGTTCATAACCTAACACATTCCACATTTTTTGTTTTTGTTTTCCAGGTTCTGTAGTTCTCCATGTGGACTTGATTGCTCTGGAAGTTAGATTGCCTTCCAAATGAAAGCTGGACGTGGCCCACTAACTATTTCTCAAGAATAAAGGTATGAACATGGTTCACTTCATACTGCATCTTACGTGCACTTCCTCGAAATTGCTTACTAACACGTATTCTTGTGCGAATAGATGATTTTGAGTTAGAAGCGAACAGCGGTATTGGCCGAATATTTTCGATTTGAATATCGAATAGTTTTTCCATGCTTTTTACTATCACTGCATAATCCTTAGACGAAAACCCAGCTAAACTTGTGAACATTGTTCCACTTGTTTGTTTATACGCAAAGTTTAATCTATCTATATTTATGAACTGTGACTTCAGAAGTTCTGATGTCTTGGAATGGCAAGTAAACGAAGGATTTGACATAAAATGAATCCTATAGAAATGTCCAATTGAGTGAATTTACAAATCTTGCTATATAAAATAATCTTTCGTTAATTTGAGTTAAAAAATGAAAGCCGTTTACGACTCCCTGTAACACCGGATAAGAGCGCAGCTCTTGAGGAGGAAAATGGAAGGGTACTGAGGGATAGGTGACCCCCTGAGGTTGCGCGACCTCGTGGGGGCAGGTCACGGGACTTCAGGGGGGTGACCCTCATGAGGGTAACTCTCATAACCCTCATGACCCTTGTGAGGGTGATCCTCGTGAGAGTAACCCTTGTGACCCTCGTGAGGGTAATCCTTTCGAGGGTAACTAATTCTCGCAACCCTTGTGAGGGTAACGCTTGTGACCCTCGTGAGGATAACCCTCGTGACCCTAACCCTCGTAACCCTCACGAGGGTAACCTTCGTGACGTCATTATGGGAAACTTCCCATAATGCAAAGCGCGATTACGGCGACGCCGCTCAAGCCGGAAACGGGCGCCTAAGAGCTGTGCTTTAAAAGAATGAATCGCGCATGAGGAACGCAGGTTGTAAGGGCATCTCTGCCTAACATAGTATACTCTTGCATAACAGTCAGTTTAATTTTAAAACTTTTACTACAAAGTAGATATGCACATTCACAAAGTTTCCATTTATTTTCAAATACAGCCGGCACACGTGCACCACCCCGCGTTCAATGTATGCTTTTCTTCCAACCACGCAATTGCGATATTTCTATTTTCCCAAGTGTTTATCGTAGTGGGTTATCCTGTTGAGTGCGCTTCTTATTGAGCACCGTTGCACTGCGGAGAAGTAACACCCGCGGAGCTCGCTTCCGCAGGTATTGCTTCTCCGCAGTGCAACGGTGCTCGGTAAGAAGCGCACTCAACGAGACTAGCCCGCCGCACGCAACCAACACTTCAAAAAACACGAACAGCACAGTTCTTCTCAAAGCGAATATAGAATAGTGTATTATTTGAAACTACAGTCCGAAATTCCGAATACTCGCACAACCCCACTAACACGGTGTTTAATTATGTCTGGGAGGCACAGCTGGCAGTAACTTCTGAAATTAGCTCGTGACAACAAACTTGAAGTAACTTATTGAATGCGGAAATTCTGTCTTCAAAGGAATTTTTCTAACTTCCCTTGTTAAAATGGTTTCATACCACGAGTCACAAGTTGGTTTCACTGTTTAGTGCCCGCCAGAGTTCAGCTGAGGCTCCTTCAATGCCCTTACATGTAACTCATTGTTTGTGAAAATTGGGACGTTTATTCTGTCATCACATTCTGTTCATAACCTAACCATATTCCACATTTTTTGTTTTGTTTTCCAGGTTCTGTAATTCTTCCTATGGACTTGATTGCTCAGAAAATTAGAGATTGCCTTTCACAGGAAAGGTGGACATGGCCCACTAATTATTTCTTAAGAATAAAGGTATGAACATGTTTTACTTAATACTGTATCTTGTGTGCACTTCCTCGAAATTTCTAACACAGTGTTTAAGCAGCTGTTAATCTCTGGGATGCGCAGCTGGCATTAACTCCTGAAAGAACTTGGACCCGCAGCCTTGTCACATTCCCTGGCCATTAGATATTTAATTTGAATTGTTCCCGCGTCAAAAATTAGTTTACGTGTTGTCTGTAACTTGCAGCGGCAGAAAGCTGTAACTCTCAATCACTGAGCTGCACATCATGAGTGACGACGGGAATCGTTCCGACATTGAAAATTAGCTGGCGTGTTGTCCGCACATTGCAGCAATGGCCAGAGACTGTTAAAATGTTAGCTGCAGTGATTTAACAAAACCGATATCTCAGTGAACAATAAATAAGCAGTAAAATGCTATATTGTTCACTTAGACATCCATTTTGTTAAGTCACTGCAGCTAGCAGTTTAACAGGCTGTGGCCGACGCTGCAAGGTGTGGACAACACACCTGCTAATTTTGTATGCAGGAACGATTCCTGTTTTCGCACATCACGTACAGCTCGGTGATTGAGAATTACGGTTTTTTGCCGCTGCAAGTTACGGACAACACACCAGCTAATTTTCGATGCCGGAACAATTTCAGTCGTTGCACATCACGTGAAGCTCAGTTATTAACCGTTACGGTTTTTTGCCGTCGCAAGTTACGGACAACACGCCTGCTAATTTTCGATGCCGGAACAATTCCCGTATCTGTGGATCACGTACATGAGAGTTACGGTTTTCTGCCATGCTTCTACGGGTCAAGTTACGGGCAAAAACCGTAGGGCCTCATTACTGTCATGCACGTAATACCTACGTAATGCTGTGACCGTTATGCAAGACAACGGGAATTGTACCGGCATCAAAAATTTATTGGCAATTTCCGTAATTTGACGGGATTTTTTTTTACAGTGTAGCGGTGCTCTACTACAGCAGTGCAAGATTTCGCTGGGCCTGTGTATTCACATGTACAGTTTGTTTGTTGTCCCCTTTATTTTCCGAGTCCCAAACCTCGGCTGTTTACAGTGAAACCCACAGTTGCTATTGTTTTGTGCTAAAATTGTTTTATTAATTTCAGGGGCGAGGTAACAAAAAAAAAAGGCGATTCCCAATTTTTTTTTTTTTTAACATAGCAAGTTTTTATTAAGTGGTCAGAAAAGCGACCATCCGCTTCAGCAAATGGTGCTTGTTCTTCAGCATGATATGATGTTCTCCAATTTTTTGCTGAATGATTTTAGGCGGGAAATATTTTATAGGGTGGAAATGTGGTAGGTTAGGATTTGACTTATGGAAGTTTGTACTCAGGAAATTGACCGCTTGTGAAATTGACTTTTATTTTACTCGTCATACCGAAGTCTACGACGTTATAAGAGCAGAAAAAAACTGGTTTCTAGAAGTGTGAACTATCATTGCGCCACAAAAAATGGACGAATAATGAAAGACGTGTAGAACATACACTTTCGCAATATCTCATACGTCAAGATACACGACGCAATACGGTGCACGTCTTCAAGTGAGTGGGTGGTATTTGTAACACGGCATTGCTCTGAGATCCTGGTTCAACGAACTCAAAACCGGGAATATAAAAGCCGGTATGTTTCATTCACGTGTATATCTTACTTCCCTTGTGTACTACGAAGTCAGTTGACTGGAGAGCGGTTAAATCCAAAACTACGATGAGCACATCATTGTTCGTTTCATGCTTTGTTCTGGCGGGGTCCATCTTCAGTTCGCATGAGGCGAGTGTAAAACGGCCACGATATAATGCAACTGAGGTAAGCCGACTTATAGCTTCTTTCGAAATAACGGTTTTCAGTCAATATATAGCAGTGATATCTGTAGCTGCGTGTTTTATCCAAGATTGCTTGCTCAACCATGTCTTCTACGTGTATAAGAAGCGAGCTTCCCGAAAAAACGGGTGATTCTGCTGTCAAGCAAACATACAATCAAACTGAAAAAAAAATAAAAAATAAAAACGGAGTCTAGGCGACGCAGAAAAAAAGGAACAAACAAAACTCCGAGACGGAATTGTGTTTGTAAACTTCTTGGAGTACCCTCGATCGTCTCCCAGCTTTTCACTATGGTGCGTGCTTCCTGATACCTCTATTCTAGAGCGCATAGAATAGTGCTGATCAGTTGTGCATTGCGACCACAAGTTAGAATAAGCGAACTGGTTTACATTTTTCTAAAATACTTTATTGCTCTTTCATTTTTCTCGAAGAAAAATCGTGTAACTAAAATAAAAAGTAATTAGGATTTCATGTGATATATACATTTTTGTTTTTGTTGGAACCAAAAACAAAAATTAACAAAGTTTGTGTTTAGCTTATGTATGCGATATTAGCGAACTAAAATATTTTGACTGACCTAGCCACACTAGGGTTTCTTTCTAAGAACTGCTACGCATATTGTGACGTTCTCATATAATTAAAGTTTTATTTGTTAGCTCTGAATGGTAACCTCCTCGGTCATTACGACAAAATATTTTATTTATTTCAAGTGATATTTCAAACCTTATCCTCAGTTGTTGGGAAAAAAAACTGTTTATGTTAATGACCAGTCATAAAGTTAGCGTTGTACACGACCGAAAGAATTACGAGCGTCAAAAATACAACATCAGTATCGTTCCCGTAGTTTGCTAGTTTATTGGAAGATTATAAAATAGTGTCCATCCGGTTCCCACTTTCGAACATAGTCGAATTTATGAGTCAGGCTTGGGGGATCGGGGTGTGCCAAGAAATGAAGCTATACGCGGCTTGCACATGACGTCATTTCCGATGCCATCAGAGAAAAGGGGAAGAAGGAGCGCCCCTCTTATCAGGATCCTCCTTTGTGCGTCCCGGATTTGCACCAGGCGTCGCTATTCTCCTCCCAGAAGATTATAGAAGATTAACCTGTCACTGAAAATTCTTACAAAAGCAGCTTCTCCTCTTCCTCTTACTTGGTGTTCAAAAGTATGCGATAGGACGTCAATGCAAGGAGCCTATAGGCTCCTTGCACATGACGTCATTTCCGATACCCTCCAGAGAAGAGGGGGAGAAGGAGCTCCGCTGTTATCAGGACCCTCCTTTGTGCCTTCTGGATTTGCACAGGCGTCGCTATTCTCCTCCCAGAAGATTAGAGAAGATTAACCCGTCACTCAAAATTCTTACAAAAGCAACTTCCCTCTCCTCCTTTTTCTTGGTGTGCAAATGTGTGCGATGTGACGTCAATGCAAGGAGCCTATAAGGTTACTGCCGGATGTGACGTCACGGAGAAAGATAGTCACCGTTCTACCATGCACGAATAATTTCTTTCTTAACAAAAATATGGTTCTGCCACTTTATTTATAAAACAATCACCTTCAGTAGCTGTGTGTGTCTGTGAGTGTCTGTGGGGTGGGAAGGGGGAAGGGATCGCCCCCCCCCCGCCAACTCCCCTTATATTAGACCCCACTTCCGATCTGACACCAGCAAGTAAACGCATGAAATACACTGGCATATAAAAGCCATTTTGAACATATTTTTTGTCTCCTTAATGTAAATCATTAAGATTCGCAGAGACGGAAACCATCACGACTGACGTAGAAATATGATTAAATGCAATACGGTGTGGACGGAATCGGTACTCGGGATGTTCTGAATACCGGTCGGGTGTGTTGATGAAAATACGTAAATACATTTAGTACCTTCCTAGTTAAAAAAAAAAGAAAAACAGAATAACATTAGTTATAAAATACCAAAACAGTGGTGATCTGGAGATATTTTTGACTGACTGAAGGAAAAGATATCGCGAGGTATCTAATAATCATAATCTTACATGTCTAAAAAAACAGACCCCTAAAACGACGTCTTTCCTTGTGCGTCGGTAATCATCCCCGGCCTTTTTGTTTTCAGGCATTCCTTATCAGTAACACGTACTGCATGAAGTATCGTGATTACACCAATGATAGATTATTTGGCAACTACTCATGCGTGGAAAGGTGGGGAGGAGGTGACAAACGCGAAGAGGATCCCATCAAAATCAAATACATGCTTTCAAATTACAGTGGAGACCCGTAAGTGTGCATTTGAAAGTTGCAAGCCTTTAATTGCAGTTTTTTTTGTTTACTTGACAGCCAAATATTGATTAAAATTTTGAGTTTAATCATTGCTCAGAAAGAAATCGCGATCTGAGGAAGATTCCAGATTACAGCAGGTCATTTTTAAAGACGAAACTGCGCACATAAACCATAAATGAGTTTCTAGCCTCGAGAAGGAACTTTCTAGGGAAGGCATGTTTTAAGTTATTCAGGGTGTTCAACCGTAAACAAAAACAAACACATAAACCATCTTCCTGGGGGAGCGTGTTGCTTCCGGTTGGCCATTGTTTATGCTTGTTTTTGAGGACCCGCAGTATGTATAGCACGTACTCTAAAAGTCTCACTGCCGATGACCGGCTGCGACATCTAAAAATATGCACTTATGCTCCTTGGATGAGAAGAACGAGCACTTGTTCCTCAAAGAAATGAAAAATCCGCCGAAGGTACTCTGGGCGCACCTTCACGATTACGTATTCGAGCTTCCAGCTTGACCCATATACCGTAGAACGACTCAAAACCTACCAGTCCTTAGACGCGTTCAACTACTTCGTGAACGGCAAGACATCGGCAACAAGCACCTATTTCTCCCCCCACCCCCTCCCCCGGCGCTCAATATAGGCGCCGAGCTTCACCGTTGGGATCACCTAGTCAGATCAGGAGACGATCTCCTGAAAGTTTTTATTACCCCTTCTTCAGCGCTACGTAAGTTTCTGTAATGTTCAGTTTACTAGTGATTGCATTGTTATTTCAAGGTTTGTTTCCCAGAGCTCTGTGTCACCTTGCATTTGGTCGGCACCTATCTTTGTACGGGAATAGTCGACCGAGTCACGTCGTCGTCGCGTGCTGTTGAAATGTTTTATTCACTTGCAAATTGAATGAGCCGCCGTCTTGCTTGACTGTTGCTATGCGAAACGGTAGAGGGAGACAAGGATACGGGGCCAAAATAAAACAAAAATAAACAAAAGAAAGGAAGAGAGAAAAATTATAATTGAAAATATTCCGATGAGTGAATCGTACTTGATCGAATGAATCAAAGTTTTACGAAATCGCCTAAACTCAAAATAAACGGCGGAGATAGGATTTAAAATTTGGGCCACCCCATGTCCGGAATGGCGTATTGAGTACTTATTGTGTAGGAAACCGATCAATCCCTTAACCTTTTATTAAATGTTTCTTTTAGATTGACTAAGTGGGGAGATGTTATCGTAAAGTTCTACGATGGTGAAACCGATACTTTTTTCTATTCTAATAAAGAATTAAAAGCACGTAAGTTGATTTCTCAAAGGCTTTTCTTTTTTGCAAAGATTTCGCTCTCCCCATCCTGGAAACCATGGAAAATCCGAAGAGCGACAAATACCGATTATCTTGCAGTTTATTTCGGGCCGCGTTAATTCTTGGATTGTAGTTTCTCAATGTGGTGGATCATTGTAAAATGTCAGGGTCTACGCGGCATTCTGAGTTTCGCCGAAACCATTGTTGAAAAATTCTTGGAATGTACTAGTGCTGCCTTCACTTTAAATGTTGCTGAGGTAAAGTAAGAAAAGAAGGTTGGATATTTAATCAAGCTAACCACTTTGCGTGCGATGCAGCAGTAGAATGCAGTTTGTTGCGAAAGTATGTTATCCATGTCATTCTATTTATAGCAAGAAAATCGACACTAAAGAATATACATAATTAAAATGCCAATTTTTTTAAAGAAATATTATACTTCTTTACATATTAAGCGTAGTTTATGAGAAAACTGCGTAGTTTTTAGTCACTGAGGGATTACGAAATGCAAGGCGCGTAGAGCCCGGATCATCTTCTTATTTCCGTGCGGCCAATAGGGTCGCGAATATAAGCCGATAAAAAAAAAAAGACAAAGAACGAATTATCAAAGCACAAAGCGTGATCATAATCGGCCGCATCATGCACGTCTTAATCTGTCATAGACTATGCGGAGAGCGAGTCGTCTACTCTCCGCAGTGGGTAGACCTCAAAGCAAGCTGCCTACTACCCTTCATTCCGAAACAATCAGATCTCGGCATTCTGACGTCACCACAGCCCCTGCAAAGGAAGCAGACGAATTGGTGTTCGTATAGCCTGCGATCGCCCCTTTCAGTGCCTCAAGGCCTAAGTCGGCAGGTGCGAAACTGAGGGTCTTCAGAACCTGTCGAGATTTTTTCAGCGATCTGACCATTCTTATCCCAACACCTTTAAACGCATTAAAAAAAAGACATATATATATAGAGAGAGAGATTGAGAGAGAGAGAGAAAGAGAGAAAACGTAGTGCAGGATGACGAAAATTGTATACGGCAGAAAACGCACTTGAGACGGTTGTGGGATTTTTGAGAACACGTTATTCTTAAAGTTCGTCGACGTTTCAGCCCGAGACAGACCTTTTTGAGAAAAAGGTCTGCCTCAGGTTCGAAATGTCCCATATATATATATATATATATATATATATATATATACAGTATGCGGCACATCTAAAGTTACCGAGGTCTGAAGAAACGCAGGACGTGGCTTATAATGTTTGTACGTCTTGGGGTACGGTTGGTTCTTTGGCGTTCTTATCGTCTAATGCCCTATCGTCATTGAGTGCGGCTTAAACATAGTGGGATGCTGGGCACACTCTCTACGTCATGTATTCTCGAAACTGTCAGCGATAATAGATTGGAAGGACACACCATGTTTTTTCCCCATCTATTTACTCTCTACTCGTGCAGCAGGCGCAAAGCCGGAGTTCCAAACACGCGAATGCTGAGAATGTGAGACTATAAGGGAAGCGACGTAAAGATCCAAGTCATCATTCGTGATTTATCATCGCCGGCCTTCCGCCTGCTGCACGAGTGGCACCTTTATTGCGCATCCCCGTGCTTTCCACATGCTTGAATTCGTCCTACTGTCAACTGATCGAAAAACTTTCCATGGCGCTCAGGAAGGTTATAGTTAAAATCATGTTTATTTCCACTAACTAAGATGTTAATTAGTAAATTTAAGGTAATTATGTTGCTCACCAGTATGTTTTCTCAAATCCTGACGTCCGCCACGGCTGGCAGTTTTTTTCCAGAAAAGAGTTTCCCTTTTTTCTCAAACGCACTTGTTTTAGGATATTTGGAATGCCTTCGTAAAAACACCCGGTATATCCGTCCCGTTTACGTGTGCGTATTTTTAAATACACTCTAGTTATATCTCGAAGTTATTTAAAACGCTGCCTAGCGATAGTCCATGCCCTACCTAAAAGATCTGTTGACCGAATACAACGCTATAAACGAAAAATGATAAAAAAACGTAGATTTGCTTTGCTGCCTGTATCTTAAACCGGGGTTTTACTCACAGCGCCGCTCTACTTTGCGCCGAGATTAGTAGCTGACTACAGGAAGACTTGTTACTTACATACCTGTTTCATGTTTGGGCATGATAAAAGTAAGATTTTTAGGATACATCAGGTGTGCTTAAGAAGGTTTCATAAAAAAATAAGGGGAGCCCTTTTCTTACATTAGGGCTCAAAGAAAAATGTAATAAAAACAAAATTTTCAATCCAAAACTGTAGACATGTTTGGTGTTTTACAAACATATTTAACAAAGTTGCTGAAATTTTGTTATTCTTAACAACTTTTCCCATTGCATTTTGTAACTGTCATCTTGGTTCCTAGCACTTTACTGTAAGTAACTAAACTTAGCCGTTATTTAGGTAAAATGAAATCGAACGGGTCAAGATTACCATGTTTCCTAACCAGTTCGTGTGTAGATTTGATCATCTTGCAATTAATACCTGCGAAAAAATTCTGAAAACAAGTCATATATGTGCTCTGTTTTGCGTCAAACAGAACAAAAACGGAAACTCATTTACATGAACGTCTCAGAGGAGTGTCAAGTTACAAAAACCTATAATACAGCAAAGAGATCAGGTGAGTTTGATCAATGGAAAGTCGAGGTACCGCGAACCTCCGTGAGAGGAGTAGCAACATCGTGAGGCAAACCAACTAAATATTGATGCGATTTCATGGTGTACCAATACCCATCTCTTGTTAGTAATGCTATGCTCCTTCCACCCTAAAGGATGGTGCCACTAAGCCATGTAACAAATCTGTTGAAAGGTTAGCTCGCGTTTCTGGCAAACGCCATGATAAATCGTCGAGCATATCACTCGACGATTTATGCAAGTGAATGGCCGAGGAAAAAGAAAGAATCATGTTTGTGGAAGGTGAAGCCAAATGAGTATAAAAAGAAGGGATTTGAGCAGAGATTCCCGCCTTCTTCTTACCGGGACGTGTTAGTAGCTGGGCGATCACATGGTAATGCTTTGAGACAAGCAAATGAAATCGAGGTTTATGTCGCTTATTAATGTTTTATTACTTCTGTCAGTCACCTTACAACAGAAGTTAGATTAGCAGCTGACCTAGCTTTTAACCAATATCGTGGTTTGGTCTCAACTATTGTTAGAAACCTGACACTAAGCGCCTAGAGTGTGCCGACGATAGGTACAGTGTGGGTTTTGGCGAACCTTTCCCAGTTGCGTAGCCAGGGAGGTAAATGGGGGGGGGGGGGGGGGGGGGCGTGCTGAAGCCCTATAGACCGACGACACGCGGAGCGGATCTGTTTACCAACACGGCCGGAAGGCCGCGCATGCGCGGAAGCTATGTGGGCAAAAGCGGCCCGGCTCTTTCCTGTTTTCGCCATTGCGTTGTGTGGCGTGCGCTCGCTGTTGACGTTGTAGGGACACTTCTAGTTTTATTTGTGGGTCGTATTTCCTGACAGTGTATGTCGTACGTTATGCCCAACTATTTGAGCTCGCTAACCGAGCCTGAACGGCAGCGGTATCGAGACATACTGTGCGTGGACGGCGTTGCTAGACGATCCGTGCGCCGCGAGCAAGGCCTGCTGGACTTCCGACGTGAAGGTGCTGCGACCGAAGTCGACGCCTCCCGTCCTCGTTTATTTAGTTTTTTCCCCAAGCCAGTTGACGGCCGACGCGTTGCAGGCGTACAAGTCTCTCGAAGCCTACGATTACTTCGAGTCGGTTTCCGCACTGCCGGCGGGATCAGCAGACTGTGGGTCTGCGGAAGCGTATTTATTAATTGATTAAATACACACAGCGACTTCAAGTCAAGGTATATTGTTTCTACCCTCATTACGACAAGGCATGACAAGCAGTAACGCTTTGTCCGTTCTGCGGGCTTGGCGCTAACACGTTACAATAAACGCCTTACCAGGAACGCGTTACTTTTTTCAGTGATGTAGTAACAAACTCGTTACTCTTTTGGCACAGTAAGGTTTAACGTACTTACGTTACTATTTCAAGTAACGTAGTTGCGTTACTCATTACTACTCCCGAAGTCTTAAAGAAATTACACTTCAATTTTTTACGTGTTTTTAGGCGACAAGCCATGTAATTTCTGAGTTTTCTGCGTTTTTCTTTGCGTTTTTTCTCGTCAGTATTTATGTGAAACTGTAAGAAGAAATAAAGTAATTATGTTCAGTTTCTGCATGAACATAATGTTTCTTGATATATGAGCTTAGGCATACCTGTATCGTCAAAACAGTAAAACGCGTTGAATCATAACTTAAAAAGAAACGCAAAGTGACGTGCGTTACGTTTCTTATCGGTAGCGGTAACGCGTTCTTTTTATTTTTAGGTAACGTAGCTCGGTAACGTGTACCTTTTATTTGCAAGTAACGGGTAACGTATTTCGTTACTTTTTTTCTGTAACGCCTAGAACACTGCCGTTCTGTCGCCGATCCCCTTCTTCCTGTTAGCACGGGCGTAGCGAGCCTCCGACGAGCCTCTTGGCCGTTGCTTTGTGCGCGAACACCATGGAAACAAAATCCGGGTGGTCTCGATCAGACGACGGTTTCCCTGCACATAAGCAAGACTCGGGACGGAGATTGAAATGGAAGCCGCACTTGCCTTCAAGAAAATGCTTGGCGCACAAACGGTCGTCCGCGCAAGGCGACCATTATTTTCGATTCACGGATCTTATCCCCCTTCTGTGCCTTTCAGAGTCTGCCAGGAACATGTGGAAACTCACTCCGCTACTTTTTCTGTACTTTTCGGTGCAATTAACGACAACACAGCTTCGCGGCATGCTGAAATGCTATGACGCCCATGCGAAACGTGCGCCCTTTTGCCCACACCCCCCGGCTCCGGCACGATCGCAGCGCCGCCGCAACTCCGTGACGTCAAATCCGCATGTCGGTCTATAAGCCCCACGCCTCGGTAGGCCACTGCCTCCATCGTTCATTGAACTAGCACTGCAGAAGCCGTGATCACGCCCACTGAAGTGTGATCGACAACTTAAAACATACTTCTTAAGAGCTGGTTCACATATTTATGACGGTATCGTTCACAACAACTATAACCGCAGAAACGACAAGAACACCGTAACAATCGTGACTTATGATAGCTTCGACAAACTACCTTTTGCACAGCTTGCCACGTTGCGTACTTAGAACACTTGTCCCGGTGACTTTGCTGTCATTTCGGTTGCTGAGAACGCAACAGGCACAAAAGTGTGAGAAAGCCTTATGAGGGCCAGGCTTTAAGGTGAAAGGGTATATAGGTGGAGCAATAGGGAAAGAGTGTATAGGTGAAGCAGTTGTTAGACGCAATCCACCGGGTGTTCTTGTGTGATTTTCGGGCGTATAAAAAGTTCGTATAAATGAAGCAACAAGCAGAGTGCATTAAAACTTTTCACAAAGGTGTCTTTAGGGAGTGCATACTCAAAATTCCTAAGTGTGGGTATAAAAAACAAGTCTAAAAAGCGTTTTTATTTTATGCACAGGGAGGTAAACGGCGAAAAACTCGTGTTTGACGCTGGTACTCACAGATTGTGCAACATAAAGTACAAACAGGAGAGCTTCTTTAAGATTAATACTCGAAATAAGATCCAGGAGACCCGAACGCCTGTGGTACCATCTGTGAACAAGGCCAACCAGAATGCTTTTGCCGTTTTCCTTATTCTACATAGGAACAAACGGGATATTTTAGTCTCAAACGTTTTCACTCTGATACGTAGACTCAGAAAAGTTGAGTACGATAAATGAACCGCCTTAGTGAACATATAAATGCACTCGTTTCATTGGTTTATAAATACCAAGTTTACTTACTCCCAAATATTGGTGAAGAACACCCAGTAGGTGAGCGGGATGTCAATATCTGATTTGAAGCGACCAAATTTTCGTTAACAATTTGGAAAACAAAAAGAAATACGGTTGTAGCACATTAACACACCCTTGCACGGTCCTTGAAAAAAAAGAAAAAGTTATATATACTTGGCTTTATTTAAAGTCGTACCACAGCCGATGCTACTATGGGAAGGACTCAGTCGATTAAGCGGAGGCAAAAGTGCACCGTCACGGCGATCTTCGTATTTCTGGGTTTCTGCTCTCCCCGCTTAAACCAGTCTCGCTCATTGAATGCGCCGTAACCCTCCCCTGTGGCGTACCTTGTCCAGCTAGGGAAGTGTGTTTGTGAGTTGTGCGACCGGGTTGTGTGGTTTCTTTCTTACCTTCCCAGTCTCGAACACTTGCACCTGCACGTTGTATGCTACCTGTAATTATTCTACACTTCCATAGACACCGGTTATATATCACATTTTGCGAACTTGCGCAAACTAGGGCTGCTCCGGATAACTGTTTACATCGATGATTCTCTTTCTCTGGTCTTTCAGGCTGTACGCTGTGGATGAGTTATGATACAGTAGAGAAGGATCCTCCAACTCGGTGCAAAAAAGTCTACGACAAGTGCGGGGGCCAAACGAAGCTACAGTACCACAGTAGCTGCAAGCTCGTTTACAATGATTGACCACGCGGGTCATCAAAATAAATTCACGATTGCTGTCAAGAGAATCAAGATATGCTGAATCGAATATCGGAATAAACAAAAAATTTAAGAAATAAGTCTAATCGGATCAGCTGTACCTGTAATTGATAATAGCGTGGTTGTACTTTAAGCGGATAGCCGTATTTTTCGCTCTAAATGCCTGTATTTTGGCGAGCGTTTCAAAGTCAGCCATCGAACAGCGCGATGGATCTCGGGAGATCCGGTAGACCCGGCACGGCCTTGGCGTCATTATTCCATGCAGGGCCAAACGTGCCGTAGTTACAAGGTTTTCCAATTGTAGGCGTCAGCGCATTACAATTGCGCTTAGTCGAAGTACCCGAGGACTGTAGCATATCGCAGAGCCGGCGGAGCGACAAAGCTGCCTTGAGTGTGCGATGGCTGACCAACGCGAGGAGAGCGGTGGGAGTGATGACATTAATGAGGACGAAGACGCCGCTACATCACCAGTGGCAGCATTCGTACGCTTGTGGTAAAATAAAGTTACCCTAAACTTAGTGGACAGGTATGTGTGTATATATATATATAACACTTAGAGAACATCGATGAGCAAGTTGGCAACACGGATTCATTCGGCGTTTTTACAGAAGCCCCATCGCTGTCGACCTCACTATTATTTTAAAAGGTCCGCCTATCAATTTGACCAATTTGATAATTGGATTTGGTGGTTATACTAAAGAATTGTAATGAGGATCTGTTTCCAAAAATATGACGGTAAAAATAATTTAAATTACTTTGCTCATGTACGGAGCTCGAGCAAAATACGTTATCTCGTTCTTCCTCTTCTAGAAGCATTTTGCTTATTTGTCCTCTCGACTCTTCGTTTAAAACCATCGTTTAAGCCCACTACTTTGCCTCCACGTCCACCTTAAAAGTGCACTAAAGACGTTTCTGTGATCGTCTGTTCTTGGTGATAACTTATCCATGCGGGTTCCAAGCATCCTATAAATCCAGAAATTATGCTATTTCTATTTTCCTACTAAAAATGTGATACAAGTTCGTAACACGCCCGTTTCCGAGCAGAACAATCTGGAGCACAGAGTCCAGCAAAGGCGCTATCGGCACCTCTGCCGTCGGCGCCACCGCTTGCGATTGGCTGACGCGCGCCCGTCGTCACGCCCCCGGAGCCTCCGTTGACTTCTGTGCTCCAGACTTTTCTGCTAGAAAAATGGCGTGTCACAAACCTCGATCACATTTTTAGTATGGAATTCGACGTCGCACGAGCATAATTTTTTTATTTCTGGGTTGCTAAGATCCCGTAGAATGATCGAGTTATCACCAAAAACAGACGATATCAAAGGTGTCTTTTTTGTGCACCTTTAAGTGTCAATTTCCTTTGTTCTGTGTTTCTCGTGTTCAATAACGATACCCCTCTCAATAATCCACAACCTAGTTTTTATAACTCGCCCCGGGAATTCTCTGAAGCTCACTACGCAAATCAGTCACCTTTCCGTTTTTTTTTTAAACGGTGCCGGCGTAACCGTGTAACTCCCAAGAAATTCCGCATTCACTCTTTGAATCATAGTTACAATCCCGCCGTCCTCAAGAGTCGCAATGAAACGCTATGAAATGACTCATTTCAACCAATGAAGGAACATTTTATGCGCTGCAATTACCACTGCACTCAACGATACTTTTTGCTCATTTTCTGTCCAAGCTCACGCATAATTATCGATAAAGTTATTTAAATAAATTTATACCGCTGCGCAATCAATCTCGCCTCAAAGTAAGAAAATTTGCTTTTGCTTTAGGTAATGGTAACCACTGTCTAGCACCATCGTGTTGTCACCGTACAAGAATTTTTACTGCTCACCGCCCCTAAACGAACAATTTATCCTATCGAAAGTCATGTCCTGCGTTCCTTCGCTTCCAACGAGACCCATTCTTCCTACATGCCGAGAGCGAAGAGTTCTCCCGCCACTTGCTCCTAGATGCCTACTCCACCCTGCAGCCGTCCCTTTCCTTCCTGAGTGTTTTCGACACCGACAACCCGGGGACGAGCACCTGGACCCCGCCTTGCAGCAAACATTCAGAAACTGATAGTTCAAGCCATGTTTGCCACAGCATTCTGGCCAATTAACTCGTTCAAGACATGCCTTGCATGTGACATGACGGTAGAGAAGGACAGGGCGCCGCACAATGCTCGTGGTCGAGCTCACACCGCACGGATGTACTTACCAAGGCGTAGGATGCCGCTAACTGCCTGGACAAGCGCTGACATGCAACATATTTTAATCATAGGTGCTTACCTAGCTTTTTACAAGTGAAATTGAGACAAAAACATGCCGACGTTTATCTTGATGACGATGAGCACGAACGGAATTTTACGGCTTGGCTGGAATTGCGCAATGAGCACACAGTTTTGATATGCCGCCGATGAAGTTTTAACGTAAAAGGCTACCGGTGTCGTAAAAAAAAAATGCTTCGCGGCGCGCCAAAACGTTTCACGAACGACTCTAGGAAGTGTTTGTAGTAAAATTATTATGATTATCCGAAGCAGTGGAAAACAGCGCAAAGTTACTGTCAAAATCTAAACCACGAAAAAAGGAGAAAAAAAAAAAAAACGAACAACACGACTTTCCTTCTCTCAAGGTTTCGACTATGATATTTTCTAACCTACTTGCCTGCATTCTTTCGCTCATTGCAAAGGTTACCGTGTCGCGGACAGCATAAGCAGATGCCCCGGCGGCGGTGTCTCGGTGAGCATGCTCACGGAGCCGCCGCCGACCGATCGGTGTCTGACCTAGCTCGTGCCGCAATACTCTCGTCTTGAGTTGGCAAAGAACCCCGAATGTGCGCTTGAACAGCGTGATGAAATGAAAGTCCAAGGGCATCAACAGGACGAACGGGCAAAGCAGATGCAAAGGCGTGCACGACCGTAAACAACGGTAGAAAAGTGCCATCGCTCGCCGCTATGAAATGCGTCCCGCAAACTCAGTAATGCCGGGCCGGATCCCTTCCCTGCCACTCGAACTTTCTCTTATTGAAGGCTACCTTGTCGTTGGGCATGCCGACGAAACAGTGGCCGAGATACGTAGCGATTGCTACAGCCGGGCTCGGCGCCATTTACCATGACTCTCGCTGCGAATAGCCATCGACTCAACCATCAGCACGGCGGTTACCGGTGTTTGACGTCGTCATGTTATGCAGGTGAAAGACATGTATAATTTCATGTCGAAATACGGCAACACAGCACCATAAAAGTTTATTTCTCTCAAATCCATTTGAAACCGCAGTGACCTTATAATCAAGAAGCCGGCACGGTCAGTTCCGTAGTCTTCTGGCACAAGAATCCTTACACAGATGGTGCTATGCCATAGTTATAGGTCATAGATTTTAGTGATCACCTTCTCTCTTAGCCCCACCAAAAAAAAAAAAAAAAACTATAACAACAAGAGAAACCGAACTTTCATTTAAAATAAATGTTTACTTCTCTAGTGGAACTAGCATAATCGTTCGACAGCCCGCATCGCTTTACTCTCCTCTTTCCAGAAATTTATAAAGCAGGGTCTCATGGCTGTTTTATCGTGTCTGTCGTATCCTCTCCAATTTAGGTAGTTTTTGATTTTGCCAATTTAGTACCTTGAGCCCATAGTAAAATGCCTACACAACTACATCAATGACGCAAGATACGCTATCCTCTCTACAAAGGTCATCACATATCGTTAGAAGGTTATCACTCATGTCAAAGGGTTACCAGCTCTTTCACAGTTCCTTTACCAGCACCCCAGTTACAGACCCGGTGCATCTCACTTTTCGAAATCTGGTGTGCCAGAAGCTCTAGCTCACCATTAGCCAAACATTTCATCGGTTAAGTCGTGAGCGTTCAATCGCCCTCATCCGTAATTCAATGTGCGATCATACCATAGTTGTAGCTTTTTAGGTTTGAAATGCTTTGCTTCAGGCTCGCCATCTTGTGTAGCTTCCGGAACAGTGAACTTGGCAAACGATTTGCCTGTGTCAACTTTTAGTTCCCCTTCCTTGTTGGCTACTCGGGCCTTGACCAGCCACTCACCTCCTTTTTGAGTCTTGCATGTTCTGATTTGAAGAACGGCGAAGTCGCTGTCGTCCTGTTCTTTTACTTCATATGCCAACGCCTTCATTTTGCAACACACGGCGAACTGATTCATCCTGTGTCACTTGTTGCTTTTTTCTTTCATGTCGGACACTTCCGTATGTCGTGTTTTCGGTCGCACTTGAGACAATGCTTTCCCGTCGGTTGGACTTTCCGCTTATGCATGTCCGCTATCTTCGTTTTGTGTATAGCTGCTTTCTTTTTTTACTTTTTTTACTTTTTTGAAGATTGTACGTTTTGGGCTTTCTGTGCCCAAAGACAAATTCGGCACTTTCCCTGCCAAACAAGAACACGCTTTCTCGGGATGATTTATGCCCCCGCGTAGAGCTTAACAAATCAGTCTCTAGCGAGCTTGGCGCATCCTCTTTCTGAGAGAGTAATTTTCACCAGCAGATTATTTGGATAATGCACTTCATGGTATCCTTACTCCACACTCCTTACTGCATCAATGTGTGCAGTCGCACACATTGATGACCGCAGGCAAAAATGTTAATCAGGACTGGCGGATATTCCCGTCCGCAGTCCCCGGCATATTGTCACGGGTGGTGAGTCGTGACCAATAAACAAGAAATAAACAGAAATAAATAAACGTTTAATGTGGCGAACTTGTGCCAAAAATAAAGAAGGAAACAGAAGAAAGCAGAGCGTCGCGGGCGTCGAAGTCGGCGTGTCAGCAGAATCGAGCGCTAGGGCGAGACTGACTCGACAAGGTCGCGGGCGGCCTCTTATCTAGAGTGCGTCGCTATCTCGAAGATTCGGCGAAAGCGGCTCGAGCGTCGCGTGATCGGGCGAGAATGAACACGCACTTTCTAGAAAACCAAAGCAGGAATAAATGATAGAAGTTACATGCGGTACACGAATAAACGAGAACTTTCTGGAGGTCCGTGAC